AGCATCCTGGGAGTGGATAGCGAGGACACCGACATTCCAGCTGGCGATGTCAGGTTACGGTTTAGTAATCAGTGGATACCGGCCAAAGGCCCCTTGGTACAAAAGCCCCTCGCTAATTTGAGCACCCCTGTCAAAAGCCCCTGGATTCATGTATTTAATAAAATAATGAAAACATCTCACTGCTCTTATATATTTTATTCAGTATTTTAAGAAGAACGAAAGGATTTTTATGGTCTATAAAATATAATAAACTCTTCTCATTGCTCATATGTATTTTATGAAATATTTTAAGAATTGTATCGCATCAACGTAAAGGAAATGGAGAAAACTTATAAAGGAAATTGGTTTTTTTTGCAAAACAAACATTTCTCACAGCCAAACTCAGGCTTTCCCATATTACTTGGAATCGTTATGTTATGAAGCAATGAATTTTTCATGTCATTAATCATTTCTGGTCTTTAATCGTATTTTGCCATTAAGACATAAAGTGAGGGATTTTTGGTCATTTGTCGAGGGGCTTTTTGGTCGAGGGGCTCTTGTACCAAGGGTCTTTTGACCTCGACTCGCATTCAGTACAGCCTTAGAGCAGGGCTACCTATAGACTAATGCTTAGTCTCTGAATATAATTTTGATAGTAACAAACAAGCCCATTTACATTGAAAAGGAGCCCCAGGGAGACCAAAGATTCTGAACCTGAAGAAATCAAGACTTGCTTTATTTAGGTCTTAACACTGTGGAGAGGGGCTTGGCAGTAGGGAAAATAATGTGGTTCAGGGACTGTGAGACAGACTAGGCTACCAAATACACTGTGTGTAATGGAAGAAACAGCCTCTGAGGTAAAATATATGAATGACGGTTCGATGTCAGTTTGCAACTTAAATAGATGCTCTTGTGTTTTTCTAACTAAATACATTTTCTCGCGCCACTTAAATAAAGTTATAAACAAGCGATGTTTTGGAAAAAATATTATCCCGAAATTAACTCCTGATACACTGAAGATGAGCAACTCTAGAAGAATCTGTACATGCTACTAAATATAATTTACTCTGTTAACAATGTTTTGAAAACGATCCTATCCATAGTTCTATCTACTCCCGACATAGATTATACTTCCCGGTAAATTTTCGCTGTATCTCCCCTACTCCCGGGAAATTAGCTCTCCCGGGATAGTGACCTTTCCAGCTATTGGTTTAAAACTGAACTAACACGTCATTAGCTAATTACATATACCACGTGACAACGCTGCCATTCAGTTTGAAGCGAGCGTCGGGAGGGAGCGATGTGTTCTGGACTAGGGAGCGAGTATTTACATTGAGGATGCAATGGCTGGTCCTACATATTGTAGTCACACCAACAACTATGACTGCTTTCACTCCTTGTTTTGTTCACGAGTATTCAACGGTTCACGGCTTCCAATGAATAGTCGCTCCGCCTCAAACCCGTGCCTGTAAGTACTAGACAAAGGAGGAGGCAGCCATGTTGTATATTCCCGTATCGCCGGGATTTGCAGTGTGTATTTGCATGGTATAACACGCGTGTATTGTATCGTACACGCGTGTATTGTATCGTGCACGTCTGTGATGTATCGTATGGACTGGGCTACGAGGTGGGGAAGGAGTTATCTGTGTATATCACCGGGTAAGATGGCGGCGACCATTTAGTAGCGCGACTCGTGTGTTGAGTCGTCGTGACCTAAATCCGCCCGCCATCAAGCCAGTGAGCTGGCTGTGTACTGTGTCCAATTATGTCGCAAGTCGACATTTGTCCCTGCGGCTGAGGACGTGGCTACTGCAGACAGCTATTTGGTTCGGTCTGTCGTTGTGTGAAGCAAAACACCATCTCTGTCAACATTCTGTTGTGACTTACACTTACAGGGCAATGGGTTAGCCTGTTGAAATCCCTGAAAGGAAGATGGGGACAAGTTTGTACACAGGCGTGACCTACTCGCGCTGTGGTCGGCTCTCTCATTGCAACATGTGCGTCTGCATTATTAATGTATCATTCATTATTCATAATAATTAATTCCTCATTCATCATATTTCATCATACTTGGGTGGATCGATTGATGGATGGATGGGTATTCATTAAAAATATCTACTACAGCGCGCATTTTTAGGCCCACAGTATTGCTGGAATATTGCTAAAAGCAATTGTAAAACCACACCCAGTCAGTCATCGCTGGTTCAAGCATTTGCCCGCCCGACAACGTTTGACACGTGTATCCCGAAATACTGGTATACCGGAAGTACGGTGCAGTTCTAGATGTTAGGATGGTCAGCACATTTCTGGGCTCCTGATACTGCTGGTGTATTTCTTAACGCATATGCAAAGCCACAATCGCTCAGGCTTTTCAAGTAGGACAGTTGAAATGGAAAAAAGTGATGTCCATACCACCCACTCACTATAGCAGTAGTTTAGGAATTGTACTCACATTGGCTATGGACAGAATTCCCGAAAGATTTACCACGTGATAGTTCTGATTACCCATTCATTGAAATAGTCAAGACATGTTTTGAGTGAGTCAAGATTGTTTTGACACTCGTTATCCCCCGGTTCACCATAATGTGCTGACCTGGCACATTAAGATAACGTGCTGACCTGGCACATTGTCGTCATAATGTGCTGACCTGGCACATTGTCATCATAATGTGCTGACCTGGCACATTGGCATCATAACGTGCTGACCTGGCACATTGTCATCATAACGTGCTGACATGGCACATTGTTATCATAATGTGCTGACCTGGCACATTGGCATCATAACGTGCTTACCTAGCACATTGTTGAGATAACGTGCTGACCTGGCACATTGTCATCATAATGTGCTGACCTTGCACATTGTCACCATCATGTGCTGACCTTGCACATTGTTAAGATAACGTGCTGACCTGGCACATTGTCATCATAATGTGCTGACCTGGCACATTGTCATCATAATGTGCTGACCTGGCACATTGACATCATAATGTGCTGACCTGGCACATCGTCACCATAATGTGCTGACCATTGTCAACACATTGTCTTGCACATTGTTAAGATAACGTGCTGACCTGGCACATTGTCAACATAATGTGCTGACCTTGCACATTGTTAAGATAACGTGCTGACCTGGCACATTTTCTCCATAATGTGCTGACCTGGCACATTAACATAACGTGCTGACCTGGCTCATTGTTATCATAATGTGCTGACCTGGCACATTTTCTCCATAATTTGCTGACCTTGCACATTAAGATAACGTGCTGACCTGGCTCATTGTCATCATAATGTGCTGACCTGGCACATTGGCATCATAACGTGCTTACCTAGCACATTGTTGAGATAACGTGCTGACCTGGCACATTGTCATCATAATGTGCTGACCTTGCACATTGTCACCATCATGTGCTGACCTTGCACATTGTTAAGATAACGTGCTGACCTGGCACATTGTCATCATAATGTGCTGACCTGGCACATTGGCATCATAATGTGCTGACCTGGCACATCGTCACCATAATGTGCTGACCTGGCACATTGTCATCATAATGTGCTGACCTGGCACATTGTCACCATCATGTGCTGACCTTGCACATTAAGATAACGTGCTGACCTGGCACATTGTCATCATAATGTGCTGACCTGGCACACTATCAACATAATGTGCTGACCTTGCACATTGTTAAGATAACGTGCTGACCTGGCACATTGTCATCATGATTTGCTGACCTGATGCTATCGGTATGGTTATATAGTGACCATGCCTCGTCAAGGTAACCTAAGGTGAACATCCAGTGCCATTGTCCTATGTGAATTGTCATTGGATTTGGATTTGGTTAAACCTTTATTGACGGTCAAGGTCATCTGAGGTTAGGTCTAACACTCGGCTATGGAAAGGTTAAAGTGCACCTTCTCAGGTTAATATCCAAGGTCAGGGTCAATACCCTCTTTGAACGCTGGCAATTGTGTTGTATACTCAGGCTTGGGTGTGTGTTACCTTTTACAACACTTCATGCTCCAATATCAATAGCCTTTTGGGCCCTCTTTGTTTTGGACCATCTTTTTTCTTTTCTTTTTTCCCTTTTTTATTGTAACTGGTTCACATCAAAACCAGGTATTGGTATCAGCATGTTGATTCTGGAAATGTAAAAAAATAATATTCGTCAAATATCTAAAGGTACACACATACATTGATTAGAATTACTATGAAGTTATGGTCAGTAAAGAAATTATATTATATTCAGTTGAGGTATTAAAAAAACCCAATTAGAATAGAATTTGTGTAAAATTTAAACCTAACAATAAACATATACTTATGTAAAATTTAAAAGATATTATAACTTCAAGATCCTCCAGGGTCCTGGAGATATGGAGGATAGTGTCCTCCAAACTGCGGAGCCCTTGCTCCACAGACAGTACCCTTATTTACAGATATTAATTTATACAGAAGTCATAAATTACAAACTTCTCTTACACTTTATGATTACATTATACTGAAATACAAAACAATGAACTGCTATGAAACTGAAAGTATAAAATAAATGAACTATGCATATTTTCGAAACCATCTTGAGCATTTTCATTGCTGAAAATATAAGGTAGGGTTGAATCAATATCTGATTCAAGTCATTGTGCTGGGAAAATTTAGCCATTAATACTTTAGTCATAACATCAAGACTAACAGTGTCCCACACTTTCTGAGTAAAGCCTTTCACACATCTCCCAAGACGTTTTTGCTTAGCCGGAACAGTCTTTTGTAAAATACGACTTGCAAGTGTATGATTACCAAAGTAAATTGCCTTAGAATACATGTAACATTGTTCAGTACGATTGAAGATACGATTATCTATGTGTAATGTGCATGAATGAAAATTACTGAAGGGAGACTTCCATCCTGAGAAAAATAGTCAGTTACTCCAACATTGATAGTCATTGGGGTTACAGAAGGAACACGTTAAAGCTCCCATCTGGTTTTGATGATCCTCTTGTCCCATACAGGGAACCACGCCATCACAACAGTCTCAGTTTCTGCCATTGTTGGACAACAAGATACCCTTAGCCGTAGGTACCACTCTTCCCAGTTGTTCATTTTTCTCCGACTGTCGTAGATCCACGCTACCATTTGGATCCAAAGTAGCATACATATTGGCACCCACATGAGCATAATCATGGGTCCTTCCTTGATGGATGGCCTCCTGAAGCATGAAATGGACTCCACAAAGTTCCAGCCAGTGTTTCAAACTCAGGACAATACCGCGTGTGGTAGGATAACTTCTCCCACTGGCATACACATCATCCTTCCTTACATGAATTCCTAGTTCTCCATTCCACATCTTGGCCGTCACAAATACGTCATTGCCTAAGTCTGTATGACAATGGGGGTCCTGTAGCTCTGTCTCTAGTCCCAACAATGTCATAGCTTGTATCTCTCCACATTCCTCCAAAGCTTTACAGAAGAGGGAGTAAGCTTGAGGTCCTCGCCTGGGAAGGGTATCTAATAAAGCTCTGACCCGGTCAAAGGAGGTTTGTGGTTTTTCGATAATGTCAGCCTCCATTAAAGACGTTAGGACTTTAAACTGCATCAGTTTGTCGACCACGTCTTCTACACGCGGTATTGCTTGCACTAGGCCTGAGTGATTCTTCCTCAGGATATCACGGTGAACGGCTTCCATCTTCGAGGTAAACGGCTACCAGAACCACGAGACCAGCTGTCCACGGACGCCATGAACAATGAACATAACGCTGAGCCTTGAACCAACACCAACTGTGACCAAATATAGATAGTTACGGGCAAAACATTCACCTCTACGTGGGTAAATGCGGTGACGTCAATCAGGAAAACTGAGGTTGAATCAGGATTCATTGGAGAAGATGACATCACGCCATGGAGTTTTACCCAGGTAACCCTCATTAGCAGCCCATCGCTGTCTGGCAAGTACAATGCTGTACGATCTGACCTTGGTAATGTCGACGACAGCGTGTACCAAAAGCAGCCAAGCGTCTTCGGATTGTTTGTGGGCTGATACGACGTTGCTGTTACCTTATCTGTATCAACAGCTGTCTGGAACCTGATGCGCATGTGCTGAAGTCTTGAGCAGCGGTTGTCACAGGTGGCACACCAGGTTGTCGTCGATCGGCAACTGTTCCAGTGGTGTTGAAAAGGTATCTGAGATGAGCAATAGTGTATGGATGAACATGAAAGTGTCAGGCGACTGCCACTTGTGAAGCACCCTGATTCAGCATTCCAATAGCCTAGTTCCTGTTGTCTTGCGTTAAGAGTGGCATTTCCCCCAAGTGACGAATTTTCGATTTTGGAGCCGTCTTGAAAGGGCCAGAGTACAGGGAATGCAGGTGCAAAACGTGTGAAACTCATGGATACAGCCAAATGTTGCATTTTGAACAATGGAGTTCATTAACGGGTTTATAATACATTTTTGGTGACCTAATTGAAAACCTGGCTGACCTCATTTCACAGGGGCAGTGACCCTGTACCCGTGGGAAACGGAACCGGAGTGACTCACGCTGACTGGGGGGGGGGTGGTTGTTGGGTGGTCATTGACCGTGGGAAACGGATGACACATCATAGCATCACACCATGACATCACGCCATTATTTTGTACCAATCAGCATAGAGCATTTACCGAACTCACTTGACCACTGACCTAAACTAGGTTCATCCGCTTTCAATTCTACCTATATAAACCCCTCCCACAATGTGTTGAGGTTATCACTTGTGTCTCCACTTAGGGGTGACTTCACGCCAACAGTACAGTTTACACACCAAGTAACATTTTTGCTGTCATTGCTCAAAGCGAGCGCCATTGAGGGCTGAATCACCAAGTAAATCGCTCACATTCCTGAATGAACGCGCGCCAATTAAGGCATGTTGAATCACCACACACAGTGTTAATCACTCACTCCTGGAGTCGAAGTTATAAACAGAAACACGTGTCAAATGCTTGGTTTAAACACGAGGAGTTAGTTTGTGCACCCGTTAACGCTGTTGCGTGTACACAACATAAAAACCATACTTACATCCACCATCTTCCTCTTGGAGAGATCCTGTGACATTATCTTGTTCTTGGGTTGATCAGTTTGTAGGTTAATCCTATGGCCTGTCCTCATATCGCCTACATCACCGTTTCGCCTACAGTCTTATCAAAACAACTTTATGCACCATTGCACACCATTTCCTGCCTATGTTACCCATGGAATAATGGACCAGCCTAAGGGATAAGAAAAACAAACAAATGTATGTGATTCACATTACTTTAATACATTAATAACTTTGATTTTAAATTAAAATAAATAAAGCACTTCATTGTCATCAGGAGCACACAGAGTTATGAGTTTGATTGAATTGAGTTCTCAGTTTAGCTTGAGGATGTGGCCAACAGCATCAAGGAACTGCATCACAGACTTCACACCGGTGGAAAGCTGCACCTTGAGACTTCACTAATAGCACTGATAACTGCTGCTTCATAGTCGATCTGGAATATTTCTGGTGAAAGTTCGATGCCAAGTCGTCTCACAACAATATCCTTCAGCAAAGTGAAAAGCCTAACATACGTCCGCTTGGTCTTGTTGGGAAGCAACGCAAAAGCGACAGGAAACATTTTACCATTCACCAGACAATGAATGATGTACACTTGTAGCCACAGGTTAGGACACACAAAGAATGTACCATCCATAAAGAGAATGTCAGCGTCGCTCAATAATTCCAGCATCTCGGTTGTAGCAAACAGCAAAAGTCTGTCATCTTCACCGTCGTCTACACAGAGGAACTCTCGGCCATCATCGGTCTGGGTCCATATTCCTTCTAGAGTGACGCCAGCCCTGCTCTCAGGCAGTGGTGGGATGGACTTGGCTCTGTGTCTGTACAGTGCGGCCTGAATATTAGAGTACGTGGGTGCAGTTGCGGCATCATCTTCATGAAGGAGGTCGAGCTCGTTGTTGTAGATCTGCAGCACCGGTGAGATGTCAGTCTTTACACGCTCTTTTACACGGGCGACGAGTCGGATGTGTTCTCCATTCTCAAAGGGTGGGTGGCTGTGAATAGTGGAGGACACTACGTGATCTCCGATGGTGCTGCTGCGACCATTGCATCCTGTGAGGACACACTTCCAGTGTGTAGCAACCTGTCGCTTGACATTGAGCCTGTACCGGTAGCCTGCATACAGTAACTGCTGTCCACCTCTCTGTGAAGTCACGAACTCAGCTCTCTGGAGATTTGCCATTTTGATACCGACTAAAGATCAGTGGCATGTATATATACTTTGAGAAAATTATGTTGAGATGACCCCTCATTGCAACCACAACAGACCTAATTATAATCTTTTTACTTTTATAAGATAAATCTTTTGAAGTATTAATTCTAATCAAAACAATGGGATTATCTCACCCAGGGGTAAGCATAACCCCCTTCACTAATATCCTTCACTGTATACTTAAAACAAATCATGTATCAATAGTAACTTCTCAATAGTCTTCTCTCCCATTTAGTTGCATTCGATGAAACTACAGTGGAATAGGGCCATTCCAGTCCCTGAACAGGGTAGATGGGATTTGACAGGATGTTTATATAAGCTGTAGGCGAAATAGTGGTGTAGGCGATATGAGGTCAAACCAATCCTATGTATGTAATTGGATGCCTTATTAAGCTCTAGGAATCACAATAACATACACAGTATTTTTTTTTCTACCATTTGCTTTTCTTTTCTTTATCTATTTTATTTGCAATATATTTCATTTGCATAAAGAATATACATTCTTATATAATAAAGTCTATTGCCTTTGTCCGTCGTTCTGAAAAAAAAGAAGAAAATTTTATTTTACATATGTAGGTGATGATTATACAATGAACAAAATGGTTTGTCTTTGAGTCAGTAAGTTTTCAATCACATCAAACTGTCTAGTTGAACGATTGTAACCATGTATGATTTCAGTTACTCAATTCGTCATTCCGTCAGTCAGTAACCTAAAGAGATGTTATTGCTGTTAAAAGAAAGAGGGGAAAAAAAAATACTTACTTAATAAGGTAGCAATTCCATGATTGCTTGGAGGTGTGCCCGGATTTGGGCACATTTCTCGTTCATTGAAACGACCTTTAGGGATCGTGTCATGTGGACATCCCTGAAACAATATGCAAAATATATCATGAGATAACACATATTTAAACCTTAGAATCAATATTGTGTATAACAAAAGCAATATCACTTAACACTCAATGTAAATTGTATTTCTTTTAAATAAAAGTATTATGTAATACACCAACAAAGTTACACTCACAGCAGGTCTTGTTCCTGCTGTTGCTGTCGTTGTTGATGATGCTGTTCCGCTAGATGAAACTCCAGTAACAAAAAAACAAAGCAAAAAACGTATTACTCATGCCTTCCTCACACGTATAATAAAATATGTACCTGATGAAGCCGACGTTTAGTGAGATAGGTCTGAAACATCATAATATTTATAATCAGTAGTCATTTTGCAATTTGATAGAGATATATAGAGATTCTTACATCCACAGCTTTATCCAGTTGGTCAAAAAGATCCATGTCCCTGTTAAAAAAAAGGATTACACCTACATTAAAAAAATATGAAAATGTTTCTAACAGGCAATATATAAGGAATAACACATGCACGCGCGCACGCACACACACATATATTATTCACAAACATTTTGAATGTCAATAATTTAAAATAGTATAGTGAAATAAAAATATTTCAAAAGGAATCACGGAATCGTTTTAAAAAAAACCGAATCTGTAAAGCTTTCATTTCTTACAATTTTGCTAATTGCATGTTGTGTTTATCTGCCAGATTGAGATATACCATACTAAAAAAACATTATCTTGTAGAATATAAACAGGTTTTGTTTAGTGACAAGAATTCATGGGACAAGAATATGGTTCGCCTTGCAAATACCTTTTTTTGTCACATGTAAAGATTAACACTAATAGTTTAAGAGTAACAAGAAATATGAAAATATTTACAAATCATCCTCGCCCCAAACAATGGAACGATGCCATTTTGCAATAATGTGTAAAGGTACATGAAACATTGGATTTACACATTGGATTTCGTAATGCCACATGAATATATTAACCTTAATTTTAACACTACATATACCCAATAGTGTTTCAATGTCAGTGGAATTAGTTTTTTAGGGTATTATGACCTCATTTCCCTTGGCAACACACCCATTGGTTTGGGTTGTTAACGTTCTACAACGGAAATACAAGTTCTTTGATAATATTGCATCAGGTTGCTGACATGGAGACAAACATGATATCAATCTGTTTTTAACGTTCCGAGGACGCCTGTACGTTCTAATGGAATGTTGCACTTACATTTCCGGCCACATCGGTCTTTGAGTGTGGTTAAACCCAGTTTGACATCATTTTTGCCTCAGTGTCAGTGAACTGAAGTCTCAGTTATACAGCTTGTTAACACAGATGTATCTGCACTTTACTCACATGTCTGTATTGACACGACCTTTAGGAGCCGTGTGGACATCCCTGAAAACATATACAAAATATATCCTGAGATAATACATATTAAAACCTTAGAATCAATATGTGTATTACAAAGCAATCTCACTCAATGTAAATTGTATTTCTTATTAAACATAAGTATTATTTAACACATCAACTACAGTCCGTTTGAGTCAGAAACGGACCGATGAGTTGCAAATTTTATCATTGTACAAAATTGCCACATAAATATAAATAGTTTATGATTTACTAATACCCAACAGCTTTCCGGACTCCACCCAAAAAGTTGTTTAAGAAACTATCATCATTGAAAACGCAACAGTTGTTATCTGTCACGGCGGGATGAAACCGTCATTCATCGGTCCGTTTTTTGACTCAAACGGACTGTAAGTCACACTCACAGTAGAATATCTTGTTGGTCTTGCTGATGTGGTGAAGGTGGTGGCTGTTGTTGATGTAGCTGCTCATCTAGAAAATACTAGATATAAAGAGATACTTACATCCACAGCTATGTCTATCTGATCGAACAGCTCCATGTCCAAGTCATAAAAAAAGGATTACACCTACATTAAAAATATGAAGATGTTTCTAACAGGTAACACCACACACACATACACAAACATTTAATGTAAATATTTAAAAGAGTAAAGACTATCTGCCAGATTGGGGTATACCATACAAAGAAAAACGTTATCTTGTAGAATATAAACAGTTTTTAGTGACAATAATAATGTTCTGTCAGGGGCTGCTACGTCTTGAAATAAGAGGTCTGAAGACCCGGGACTCCTAACTACAACATTACATTCATGTGCTGGCACCCTGGCATTCCATGGATAACTCAACACTTGGTTCTATACTCACATAGGTTTACTCGATCCCTCTCTTCATTACAAGGTGACGTGGCCTGGACAGGATAGTACAAGCTCTTCACCAGATATGGAACTGATTGATCGCGATGCGAACGTTCTGCTGACTTTGCAACCCACACCCCTTTCTAGTGCTAACCCATCTTTCAAGGTTGCTCCACCCTTGTCACATGACCAGATACAATCCCTCTGATTCGTTTAAAGTTACATCATTCAATGGTTTCATGTAGTGCCTCGTGATCGGAAATACCCCTCCATGGATATCTGTTTAATTACTACTTTAAGAGGCTGCTTATCTGTTACTGACATTTCTCCTGTTCTGTATCCCAAGCAGTCATAGCATTGATTCTATGACAAAATAACCGCAAGTCTCAATTATAGATACTAACGTATGCAACTTTCACCTTATAACACATTTGTCTTTACTCCGTATCCAACTCTCTTATGTCTGAATAGGCATCCACGGAGGTGAGGGTACTGGGCCCATTCTCATTTGGGGAAAATCCGAAGCATATCCTGCCGGAAATTACCATAATGAGTGATTGAGTTACCTCAAAACTCATGAATAGTAACCGCGATGGAAAATGTCACCGTGACCTAAAACGTTATCAACGCAGTTCCTTTTGTAAATGTCAACGAGAACATCTCGTTCATGAAGATGCCATTCATAATCTGTTGTCACAGCCATAAAGTGGTCCGGAAATATTGTTCACAAATGCAGTGAATGAAGATTTATAGTCACATTAATAGACAATCTGGAATATTTCATATATGATAATGTACCATTTGCGTAGACAGGCCGACCTGCTTGGCAACACTGCCACTGCCATGCAGGACAACAGACCACTGCTGATGGTGTTGGTGATGCAGGACGACAGACCGCTGCTGATGGTGTTGGTGGTGTTGGGGGTGATGCAGGACGGTAGACTGGTGTTCATGGTTCAGATTTTATCATTTTGCAGAGTTGTTATTTGAAACTTCTGACGACGGAGGCTCCAATGAGATGAGTTCGTTCTCTAAGTTTTCAATGATGCTTGGTGCAACACAGCTTCTATCATCTCTTCATTCTATAGTAGGGCTCATCTAATTAATATACCCTTTCCTCTTTGCCTTGAGGGTAAAAGTCCCACGGACGTACATAGCTACATGACATAAATGATCTCGTTATTAGATTACATGTCTCTGGTTCTTCAGCGCCCACATTTATTAACAAAATGATGCAAAACAGCCAAGCAAGGACAGAGATGCTATCGTTGACGAAATGATATGAATATATGGATAGGCATAATCAAAGTCTAATGTTCCCTAGTTTCATTAAAATTATGATTACAATATCACTAAAGTTTGATTATAATATCTCTAGTTCACTTATATGAGCTCTGACTACCGTTCGTCAGATACTATGATAATGTTGTAGTTTTGTATCCAATGCTCGCCAATTGAGCCGCGATCAAAACAACACTGTCTATGAAGCCAAGTCTCCCCTTGCTTGATGATTTGCCCTTTTTCATCTGTCAAATTCATATAATCGCTGTTTTCTAAATTACAAACTGGTATTGATTAAGTTGAAAGGAGAGGAACAGACCAACCTTTGCTTACACAGCCTGTCTGTCTAGGTCAATGAATGCCACTCGGCCCCTCCCCTTGATGATTTGTCATTTGTCCATTGATGTAATCCTTCTTGTGATACCAACAAGTTAACATTTTTTTAATGAGATTGAGATTGGATTCTGTTCTTTCCTATGTAAATGATTGGATAATCTGAGGTGTTAGGGTGTCATGTCGATCTCCTCCCTACTGATTAACTTTGTGTTCACACAAGACTTGAGAGGAGCTTTTAAAGCTCCATATCCGTCTTCGCTGAAACACCATCACAATACAGTAAGGTCTCACTCACTCTTGTCCATGGACATAATCACTGTTGTGGCTGAAACATGAATCTCAGCCGAAACAACATCCCTAAGTCAATGAAGGCGAGCCCACCCCTCCTAATAAAGTGCTACTATTATTGTCCAAAGATGAGCACATCACGGTTTCCGGATGTACCCTCGAGCATTAAATTACCATTCACCACAATGAGATCCGTCTACACATCACCACAGATCCCACCCCAAACCATGACACCACCTCCGCCAAATGGAACCACCTCCTGGATGCAGTTACGTTGCTAACATTCGCCTCGTGTTCGGTAGACTCGAGCCCAGCTATCATTATGGAATATGAGGAACTTGTCATCGTCAGAAAACATGACCCTT